TTAGTAAATTGTGCAGCTCCCGCAGGGAACAGGCCTTGTCCGCCTTCTCCTCTTGTCTACCTGAACGACAGCATTACGACTATAAAATACCCACTTCGGGGGAATTACTTCTAAGGGATACTCAGCTAATAGTTTTAGCTATGGAGGATGTTACTTCATGGCGCTTGTTTCCTCTCTTCTGACTATCACAGCCTTCTCCACGAATACAATATACCCTTGTAGTACACGACTGTCGGACATAACAACTTCTTAAACTACAATTTGTTTGGTGGGGGTAGACGCAGGCGGCTTAGTAAAGTCCTGTGAAAAGGGTAAACTTGGTAAACCAATTTGCCAAGGGTTCCGACTATCTCAATATATGTATGCACAATGTCGCACAATTAAATTGCCTATGAAGCAATATACACACATAGTTTCCTGCCTCGGCTCCTTTTGCAGGATATCTCTTTTTTTCTGCTCAGCTTTTATTATTGTTACTTTGTGGCTGTTTCTGCTCCACCACTCCAGCTCGTTTTTTTGTCAGGTAAAACCCCAAGCTAACCCACAAAAAAAAGTGTTAGTATGCTCCACGCGACATTCCCTCCCATCACAAAATGTCGTTTTAGCAGGGGAGGTAAAGGAAGAAGGACTGTACACATGCGTTTTGTGTGTATGTAAAAATTTCAGACGTGATGTAAATTTCTATTGAATGCTGAATGGGCAGAAAAAATATTTTTAATGGTCTTTTGGCCAGCCAAAGCGATACAAAAGACTCCGAGACCCAGGTAGATACCAAGGCTCCGGTCCAAGCCCTGGTCCCCCATGTCCAAGCCTTTATCAGAATTGCCGACAGTTGAATGAATTGTTGCTTTGATAGGTGTGTAGGTGGATGGGGGCCCTGGACAGGTGATAACCTGTGGTTTGGGTACCCAAAACGATTCAACATATGCTTGTATTTTTGTGGAATAATAAGCAGAAAAGGTTGTGAAAGCTGGCAGTTCGATTTTCGATGAGAAAAGCTATGAAACCCAAATAAAGTGGAACATTTTGGTATGTTAATGCAATTACATAGAAGGAAATTGGGTTACATGGAAAGCCAATTGCAGTATTATTTTTTGGAATCAACAAAACTAAATAACAAAAACAAAGTTGTATTTATTTTTGGCTTCGTATTTGATGGTAACTTGAAGTTTCGTTGTTTTCGATATTTATTGCTGGCAAGCTCTGCTTATACTTCTAAATTACCGAGCTTAAGAAACTTCTTCTCGCTTATAATATAAATAAGGTGGCCTTGCAGAGCGTGGTTTAAATTTGGACGTAATTTTTAGATCAAGGACAATTAAGATTGCCATATATACTAAACACAAAAAACCGATTTCGCATGCCAATTTGAATGCAGCGAAAAAATCACATGCCATCACATATGTAAATCCACAAGCAAAGCAATCAATTTATACGATTTTCCTGCTCTTTCCACCATTCAAAAAACACTTTAAACCGTTTTACGTTTTGTCATAATTGCAAATGCCGTTATCAGATCATCACGAATAAACACAGAGAGACACACACACACATGACCTTTATCAAATCAAACTTAATTCCCATAAAATCCCCATCAACTGCGTGCAACATCGATGACCTTGCGCCCACTTCCTATGCAAAGCAGAATCAGCAAAAAAGAAAAAGAAAAAAACACAATCCAGTGAAATTTCCAACCCAATAACGTCCAAAATAAATCAACAGAGTAAAAGAGAGATGCATAGATGGTGAGAGGGAGAGCAACAACAGCGTGACATGTCATTATTGGGCTTTGACAGGCAAATTCCAAAATTCAAATATTCCAAATCGATTGCAGTCGCTTGTGGAATGGCATCGGTGTACATGGCCAGCTCGGTTTTTGTATTTATGGAGCTCTGTAGAAAGTATTTGAATATGTACGAGTACGGTGTATGTATTGTATTTTGCATAATTTGGCATGTAAAACATTTACAACAATGCAAAGCCAAATGAAAAACGTGTTGTGCGGCGGGGGGGAAGGGAGGTTAGAGGAAAATTATGGAAATATTACATCATGCCTGATGCCAGGGAAATTGTGCGGCTTTTCTATTTTGATTGCAGTTGATTGTTGTCCTTGTTGCTGTTACTGGTACGGGTATACCCTGGTGATTGTGGCTGTCCCAGATCAGTGGGTATATTAGATGGCTAGGGGAATGCGCTTTTAATTGGGTTAGATTTGTGTGTGGTAATAAAACTGTTTGATGAACCGATGCGATCCATTCAACTGGGCTATCAAGTAATTGGAGAGAGAGAGAGAGCAAAATATCTTTAAATGGGGCTTTCTATGTAAATATTCCCACCCCCGCATAATGGGTACCATAAAATTCTATTCTCAACTCTTAGCTATTTCGCTGTAATCCATCTGTTGTATAATTTTAGAACACCAGAGGAGCGAAATGCTTTGCACGTACTTAGACACCTCCTGTTGACTGCTGTGGCTGCATTGTAATTATGTATATATGCATGTAAAATCTGAAATATCAAATATGGATTGCACTCCCCACACACACACACACACACACACAGAGAACACAAAACCGTTATACAGACAGATATTTGAATGTATGTAGGGCGTTTTTTACCTGGTACCGCACGGAGTTGGTTGTTTATGTTTTGGAGTCAGGGAGCAAAGTGCAGTCAGTTCGTTATGCAAATACCCGTATGCCAAGTTTAGAATGCGATTTCGAGTGGTTTGCCTTCATGGCTTGGTTACAGTGCAGCGCATAACTATATGAACTTACGGTACATCGGCATTTTTAAGCTTTAAAAAATGTAAAAATGTTTTCCCTCATAGCGAATTTTGTTATGCTTAAATTTTGTTGGAAACTCAATAACTCTCTTCCATCGTACACCCATGAAACGCACTGCACCTGCCTTATGCTGGCCGTTCTTGTTGTCATCTTCCACACATTTATCTTGTGCGAACATTTCGTTGTCATATTTATTTATCAACAGGCAACAGACTGCGGAAAACTTCTTTGGCGTCGCCTCAAATGGCATAACAAAATAATTTTGTTGTTCCCAAAATTTATGTTTGTTCCTCGGATATGGAATGGGGACTATCGTACACATATAAACCAAGTGTGATGCTCATGTAATCCCCCAGGAAGTTTCCCTTTACTCCTCCTGTAACTTTACTTAGCCAAAAATTCAAGGTGAATGTGTCTTAGCTTAAAGTTATCTTGCAGCTTTTGTTTATTTCAATAAAAAAGCAATTTATAAAGCCCAAGTTTACCTGTTTCCCCGCATCCTTCTATTTTTGCTACCTGCTGATGTCGCTGGAGTTATGCAAATATCTATGCCGAAGCCAACAAAAGCGTCAGTCATATGGGTCATAAAAGACACTTTTTATTGCTCATTTGACAATATGGCTGGTGCCACACACCCTTCTCTGTGCCCACAAAAGCGGAGCTTTGATGCCAAATCTAAATAATTTGGCAATTTCGTGCTGATTTTATTACAAGCCACAAAAGGGGACGCATTAAAAAATACAAAATAAAACAGCGAAACACGAAGGAATTCCTCAGAGGCCTGAGTATGTCGATAAGGTTTGATTAAAATTTGTTCGTGTCATACACGGCGTATGTGCAATCTCTGTGCAAGTGTGCAGAAATGTTCCCATTTCAAGTGCACAGAGTAAAGAAAACATTGTGGAAATTTGGTTTAATTAAGCCTCAGACTATGTCAAAGTGGAAAAGAAGAGTAGCTGACGTACATAGGTGGTTGAATATTCTTTGAAAAGTTTATTATTCTCACAAAATATTCTTGATACTCTTTGTAGAGAGTTGCGCCTTTCAGGAGGATGTCTGTGATGTAAAATAGAATGGATTTTATGTGGCATAATATTTTCACTACTTTAAACACATGGAATATTTTCTTCCAATAGAGCATTCAAACATTTAACATTTACTCTTAAATAGCCGCAGCCTCTCATTTGGCAACCATTTTTTATACTCGAAAACTTTTTCGTAGTCGTCTGATTAAACTTTCCCACTGCACTTCTCTGAGGTTGACTTCATTTGAGTCTTAAATTTGTGCCTTTGGCCTGCTGTCTGCCCGGGGGGAAAGAATCAACTTCTTCTCACCTGGAGGGCAAGTGCAATTGTAGTATTTCCCAGCTGAAACTTTTCCTTACATATCCTGGCCCGTTCTGTTCATTCAAACTTTCAAGATTCACCCAGAAACTATCTCTCTCTTTTTAATTATAAAATAACCTTTGGGTGTGTGCTTTTTGTTGGTCAGAAGCCTTTCTGACTATGGCCGAAACAACGAGCGCAATTGTTACCCTGGTCCCTATGTCTGCTCGCAATTGATGGCAGTGCCGTGTAATTAGCCACAAATTGTTTAGGCCTAGTTGAACGCACAGACACAGAGATGAAAAGGGATAGATAGAGGGTTAGAAAGAGAGGACATTTACGTATGAGAGAGATAGTCAGACAGAGAGGGATAGACGGAGGTAGACAGCCATGAGTGGTCCGAAAAACCGAAATTTGTGTGCACAAAACCAAAAGATGACACAATTTTGTGTTCCACTAAAGTGCCGTATCCTGTCTATGTATTCGAGCTCTTTTCCCCCCTCTATCTGTCGCCATCTCCCCCTCCTCCGCACTCATTCAATCCTCTCTATATACACCCTCTACCGCCCCAATTAAGTAGGCTGCTCATGTCCACGCAAATTAAAATAAAATTTCTCTTCCATTTTTGTACCCTTCCAAAGGGTATGACGAGATTGACTAAATGATTGACGACTCGGGGAATAGAGCATTAGTAATCCTTTATTATATAACTGATTAGCATCAGCATCAGGTCTCGAGCTGGTTAGTCGAATAAATTCCTCAGCTTTAAAGGTACTTGTGAGACTGTGTGAGACTTTTTTGTCTTTAAAAATGTATAATTAAAATCCAATAAACATCCATAGTTACATATTTTTTCCAAAAAGTGTACGTAAAGTGTAAGTAGTAAAAGTGTACCTAGAAGCTTCGTATTGGGAAAAACCTTCCATCTCTGCCTATATATTTTTTTTCTTTTTGGTCGGTTTGGATTGGTTTCGTTCTTTCTGGCTTAGTCAGGCCAACAAAATTATTTGTGTGGCAACGGTTGCAACTTGTCGCCGCAAAATGAATTGAACTTTTATGGCTAATGACGTTGTGTGCCTCACGTTGCATGCGGCATGCTGCTGCACGTGTCGTATACGCAATTACATAACATTTGCCGGGGCCTTTTCGAGCTTGTTCAACTTGTAATGCAGCACTTGGTTAGAGAGGAAGAGAGGCCTGGAATGGTTGCAGGGGGGTTATGGTAGCGATTTTCGGAGTTCGTATTTATCTAGGTAGTGCTGTACAGAGTGGAGTGGATTGTGTGTGAACATAAAAAAAATGAGGATATTGCTGGAGGTTTGAAACCCAACTGCATGGGCCTGTGTCATGGGGGAGTATAATCTCGCAGACCTTCCTACTGGAACTGGGACTACTGGGACAAGATAAGGCGATGCATCGACGTTATAAAGTCCACGGACGGAGTCGCTTCTCTGCTTTGGTGGCATTGCGAGTGCCTAAACTGCGAGTCTAGCATGCCACTAGATTCCCAGACAAATCTCCTCCTTCTTCTATTGCTTTCTTCACGTATGAGTATTCCTCTGATTTTGTGTGCTGAATCCGCTGACGACGCTGCTTGTATTCGTACATGAGACGCATCCAAATGCCATGGCACATACGCACCAGTCGCTGATCCTTCTCCCTGTGGACACGCGCGAACTGGTGCTGGTCCCGGATCAGGTGCTTGGCCGCACGCAAGTGTCCACGCTGGATCAGCGATATGCTAAAGTAGAGCTTGCAGCGTGCCTGTAGGAACGGGTCGCCCAGGCGCACACCAATCTTCAGTTGCTGCAACGAGATCCTCCCAGCTGTTTTTGACTGTGGGAAGTCATTGAATATTGGCTATGCATGTGTGTGTACCAGAGACTACTTACGTATCGCTCGAACTGCTCGCCCAGGGCTGAGAAGCCACCGCCGAGTGTGGAGAGCCAGGACATCAGGTTCTCCACCTCGATGTGCTCCCAGATGGTGTGGGCCAGTATTTTGGCCCACTTGTAGTCGATGGTGTCCCGTTCCGGTGGCTTAAACTCCAGCCAAATCAATTCCACGCCGTGGTTGTTCTGCAGCCGGAAAGCTAGGACCCGCTGCTGTACGAACTCCCGCAGATAATAGTTGCCATTTATCGCATTCATTTTCAGCCGTAAACGACGCAGTTTGCTTTTTGCGCGACAGGCAGAGGCCACCTTTGTTGGTGTGGTGTGTGCGTTCAGCGGTGAGCAGTTGTAGTAGTAACGCCGCCTCCAGTAGTCGCACACGCAGACAGTTAGTGATCCCGACATGACCATTTTCTTATCCAAGTTCTGGTCTAGAGAAAAAAAAGAAAGCAACAGATGCTTTTTTGTTTCTACCACGTTTTTCTGCCACTCAAGCAGCTATCGAAATCCCAGTATATCGATGTCTGGCAACTCTTTAACGCTTTACAGGCAAAAAGTTATCTGTTACTCGTTATTTCAAAAGTAAAATCGAAACACACACATACAATTTGTATATTTTAGACGTATATCGAAAAGTATATGGGGACTTAGTTTATCTTATTGTGGGTTTCGAATCTGGTGCGCAAGCATACTAGAAGAGGTGCAAGCTATATGGCAGCCCTCTGATCACCCATCTATCGATAACCCTTCTGACCGTCGTGGTGAGCCCTGAGTAAAGTTGGTTGAGTAAAAAAATATAAAAAAAAAACAAAGTTTTCCACTAAAATACTAAGCAGCTAAGCATCAACGTTTGAAACCAATTGTCTGGTTTCCCAGCCTGAAATTCCCCAACAAGTTCCTAAGTAACAGCCAGTGGCGCAAAATAACGTAATTCCACCTTTGTTTGTTATTTGCATTGCACTGCATATAAATATTTTAACCTTACTCATGGCAGCGGCCGTTCTTTCGCCCCTTTATATCTCTGTTGAGCTACTGAGCGTTTTCAGCAGCGTTTTTTGCATGGCATTAAAAAGACGATGATTGTTCAGTTGATACTTCACAGTTTACTGGACTTAAGTTTATATATATAGGCTTTATATCGATAAATAGCGAAAGGTGTGGATTTGCTAGCGGGAGTTTATGATGGGTCGATTGAAGACGCGGGGCCGGTTCAAGACTGTTGAAAGCGATCGATATATTTTTGCTATGAGCGTATAGAACTTTTGGCAGGCAGGTCACTGTGACAGACAGCAATACGTTTAATTACGGTGGGGATTGGTATTGAAGTGTCTTCTGCTTTCTCTGACGAGCCTTCTTGATTTTGCTACTGCATCTGCAGTACAGCATCTATGCTGTTCTCTCGCATTCTCTCCTTTATCTATCGCTGGTATTCGACTCAGCAGCAGCCCGAGCTTCTATCGCTTCTTTCCCCCTTTTAGTCTTTAATTGCTCGTTATCACTATCGCATTCACGTTCCGCTGTCTTGATCACTCATTTCTCTCGCATATTAAACAGACCCTGCGTCTTGAATCGACATCGCTTTTTTTGATCAACCGGCACATCTCGCTATCTCTTATACGCTACACCTATACACCCCATATTTCGCCTACTTAACAAATAAATTGTACACACATAAACTATATCGAATCCGCTCGACTTATTAAATCTAAATCAACGGCTAGTGAAAAAGCCCGCTAGCTCAACACCAATCCATTATAAATATCAATAAACACTGGATTAATATAATTTCCTACACTATTATTGGTATATGTTACATGTTTATTCAAGAGGTTTATGTTGCTAAAAATTAAAGTTTACTCCAATAAAATTAGTTACAAGTTCGAAATTATCTTTATTCTCTTGCTTATGATATTTTGTTATTTTTTCTCTCCTGGTCTCTATAAAATCTTTTATTCTGTTTTTCCGTTTCACTTGTACAGTGACGCTTGAAGCTGTTCGGGGAGAAACCTAAATTCCGCCGAAAACTATGCACTGTCTGTCGAATACTATAAGTTTATTTCTCTTCATAAATTGGCAAAGGCGATAAGAAGAAAAAGAGAGGGAGAGGGGAGAGAAATTAGAGACAGGTCAACGGTAATGAGAGCTCGAGTGCGAAATTCGATGAAGGATAGGTGTTAAATAGAGGGCATCCGGACGCCATTATGCCAAACCCAAATATGATTGAATATATATGCCTTAAACTATATTTTTGTTCTCCCTACTGTCTCGCGCTATTCTTTCTCTCCCTACCCTTTAACTTTCGCCAACTGCGAAGCCAAAATAATGGTGCTCGCTAGGCACCGGTGATCGAAGAAGATAGATCAGACAGATGGCAAAAGAGTGAAGAAAGTGTGGAGATGAAATAGTGCAGGAGAGGAAGCATAAGAAATTGCACTAACCTACCTCAAGGCGACATTTGTGTGTGTGGTGTGGCGCGAATTGTTTTTGGTTCTTTTTGGAGGTACCCTTCTTGTGAGTAAGAGTAAAAATTTATTTTTATATTATGGCTTCCCAGTCTTTTTTTTTTGTGACAAATTCTCTATAGAGAGAATGAACAAGAAGAAGAGGGAGCATAACATCTTTGCCGCCGGCCTGCATACACCCACACCATTTTTAATTAGAGGGTATACGAATTTAAATCGGGGTCGGGGCCGGCCTATCCGTGGGTGCGGCAGGCGCGCTGCTGCGCTGCCGGTACACCGACAGTATAAAAAAGCAGCGGCGCTTCGTATGGCTCGGCAATGCGCTTCGGCCTTGTTGTCTCGTTTCACACCAGTACAGAACGAATGGCATCAGTTGCTGTCAGCCGTCATCAATGTGAGACCACGCTACGCAACTACGAATATACACTGAGACAAAAATGTTCGATGGGAATTGGGAAACAAATTTTTCTTTGCCAAATATGGTGGCGATGCGCAGCCAATGCGATTATGTTGCGTGCCGCTGTAATTTATATGTCATTGAAAGACATTACAATTTAAACCATATTGATTATAACTTAATAAGGGGGATTGATCATGTCCAAAAAGTTTTGGAATTGCAGGCCAACCACAAATAGATTCGTGCAGTGTAAAGCAAGAAACCGGTTTCGGCGTAGGCATCTTCGTGTTTTAGCTACGCACACAAGCGCACTTCACTGTATGGGTGCCGAGCCCTGATTTAAATGCATGCATATGATTCTCACTTCTTTCGGATATCTACTGCCTATGCTCTTTTCCTGTTTCCATTTTTCCCGTCTCATTTGCTGTTAATACCTTTTATTTATTTGCATTTAAATACCTCTTTTTCTTATTTTTATAATTTTGTTCACATACCTGAAGCTTTACATTTTGTTTACATTAAGCTATATTTAATATTGGGGAAAAATATGGGAATTATTAAAGGGAACGTGTCCATAGACATAGAAATCTTTAATATTTAATAAACTTTTATAATGTATGAGTAAATAATTAGAGTTTGATCTCCAGACATGCCCCTGTAGACCGCTTGTCCAAGAAGGGGTCTTGTAAAGGAATTAGGTTAGTTGGCACAATCGAGACCAAGGTAGGGTGGATGAAGAGTTCCTCTAAAACATCAGAGGAATAACGTCCGTTGTCTGTTTCACCATTGTGGCTATTTTCTTTCGTTTTAGGTGTTATTAATGGCTTAGTAATTGTGCACGCGTTAGAATTTTAAAGTAATAATAGAATAGGCCTTAGCTTTGGATAAAAAAAATAGAAAGAACACAACACTTGTAGCCAACGAGCCGAAAAATCAATTAGCATGCTGTCCAAAAAATAAGAGTGTCACTGCCTACACAGTGGGTTAACCATTACACACTACCCAATGTAAAACTCTTTCCATAGATATAGATTTCGTTATTGACTTGTCTTCCAAAAATTGAATTTATAATATTTAGGCTGTCTATAAAACTATGTTAGTTTCCCTAACAGAAAATAGGGAGGAGAATGAAGAGAGAGCACATTGGAGCCGGAGGAAAATTACTAATAAATTGCATTGAAATGTTGCGCATACGCAACGTGGCACTAGCCGAAGACAACCAAAAGGCAAACAAGTTGACTCTTTTCTCTCTCTCTCTCTCTCTCTGTCTTTTCAACTTTCGGTTACTATTTATTTTTCTCCTTCTTTCTTTATAACTATTTCTCTATGGTTTTCTCGTTCTTTCTCCCTGTGAGTAACAGGTGCAGTGGCAGAAGAAGCTGCTCGAAGCTGCAGTTGCTGCTGGTGCTGATGCTGCTGCTGCCACAACTCAATTTATTTCAACATGTACTTTTGCAACAATGAATTTCACTTTAGTTGCTAATGGATTTCGCATAGAAGGCAGTCAGGCAGCAGTACCAGTACCAGTAGCAGTAGCATCAGGAGTGGTAGTACCAGTTCCAGCAGTAGCAGTAGAACCTCTGCCAGTTTCAGTAGCAGTTTGTCTGCCTGTCTGTTTAAGGGTTGAGGTTTTTTTCGGGTCAACTTCTGCCAAGGAACTGCATCGAGTCCTTGTCCTGTCTGGTGTCTCTTTGCCTCCTGCCCCTTCTCTATCCTTTCTGCCGTCTCGTGTCTCTGCGGTAATGCATTTTGTTTGCTTGGTTGAAGCAACGCACCCACAATGACAAATGAAAGTTGACGCGTTGCCTTATTGAGACAAACGAGGGGGGACATGCACCAACAGAGTGTCCTGCTGAGTCCTCCCCAGACAGGCGGTGTCTCCTCCAGGGCTTTTGGCTATAATCATGCAAATGACCTTTAGGTTCGCTCAAAATGAGAACCGAGGACAGAGCAGCTCTCAGACCGATGCAATTAGAAATGCACTGAAAGGAATATACAAAAATGTTGCCAGGGGGCCCACTAAGAGCAGCTTCAGCTTTCAGCTTCTTTTCAAAGCTTCCTTTCCCTTCCTTTCCAACTCCTGAACTTATTCCTCCTTCAAGTCCCCTTCCTGCCTCTATTCATGCCCCTCTTCAGGAGACTTAATTAATTTTCTTTTAAATTACATTTGCCTGGACACTTGTATCAACATTGTCCGCCCATTGTTCTCATCCTCCACTCTGCAGATGCTCATTTCGTGTCTCCTAGTAGCCCGGAACTCAATTCATTGTGGACTCGATAGAGTCAGCTAAGACCAGCTTCTGCTTCTGCTGCTGTTATTGCTGACTTGCCATTCAATTGGCATGGAAGTCCAGAACATTGTTTTTGTCTTCCCTTAAGCTGTGAGTTGTCTCAGCCCTTGGCCCATAATGCAAGTTATTTGACTTGAAATCGGTTAACAATTGCGTATTACAAGCTGGACACGATTGTATCAAACAATTCGATTGGAACTTGCTGGGGCGCTCTCGAAAAAGGGGTGACAATGCAAATTGAATGGAGTACAGAAATGTTGGTCGAGCGCCAGCAGCATTCTTGTCGAAATGAAAACATAAAGGATGTTGGCGTAGTAGAACATGGATTGTCCGATGGCAAATAATAGTCAGATATTTTTTGCTGATAACTTAATGAATTGTTAAAGTATATTTTTCTTGTTCTGAAACAAAACTTAATTTTTGAAGTTTATTTTGCGAGACATGCATTTGGGAAATGCCTTAAAAAATGTAACTATGAAAATTTGCTAAATATATTTTATA